CCCGCAGCTCAGCCACGAGCCTAAACGGCACCTTTCCCTTTACAAACTGGCCGGGACCTGGACGCACAAAAGCCTGCCACGGACACATCAAAAGATATTCGATCTAGAGGAAGACTCCCCTTTTTTTTTGATGCTTCAAAAATTCTTTCATGTGCGGCAGGCTGTATCTTTACAGAGATAAGGGATGAGCTCTTCATAAATATCATATTTATTCCCTGAGTACCACGGGAGCACATAATTCAGAAGGCAGAGCAGTGAATGAGTTATGAGGCTCTGACTGCGCAAATGGAAAGAGTCTGGTTAATCAACACAGACCATCAATCTATTCTGTTTATTCCACCCTTTACAGCACACTCTAGCTCTAAACTGGGAGATGAGTTACATGCCACTCAGTTATGGGGTTCTGGATTATTTTCAGTTCTCTCCAGCATTCTGGGAATTACATTAATTACACAAACAACATCCTGTGTGAAGAATGCGTATAACAAATGATGTCATGGGGTAAGCAGCTCTACCCCTTGTTATGCTTAGGACCATAAACCAGAGTGCAGGCGCTTCACTGATAAAATGTCTTTATAAATCTGAAGTGTTAAAAGTGCAACCCCCCATTTTTTCGGAAGGTTACACAACCGGGTTAGGCGTGTTTGTTGCCTGTTCATGCCACTAATTCATTAAAAAATATTTTGTAGTGCTGAACAGAAAATTGCACCTTACTTTAATTATACCTTTGTGATCACAATGCTTGGAATTCAGCAGTAAGGTATGATCCAGACTGCATCAAAAGAATGTGGAAAGCTGGTTCTCCATTTTCCTCCACTGTCACTTGAATTAGAATTGGAAACACTGTAGAAAAACCCCAACTTAATGCCAATATGGTACCAGACCATAAATTAAATAATAATAATAATAATAATAATTGCTTACACTTATATAGCGCTTTTCTGGACACTCCACTCAAAGCGCTTTACAGGTAATGGGGACTCCCCTGCACCCCCACCAATGTGCAGCCCCACCTGGATGATGCGACGGCAGCCATAGTGCGCCAGAACGCTCACCACACACCAGCTATCAGTGGGGAGGAGAGCAGAGTAATGTAGCCAATTCATAGATGGGGATTATTAGGAGGCCATGATTAGTAAGGGCCAATGGGAAATTTGGCCAGGACACCGGGGTACACCCCTACTCTTTTCGAGAAACGCCCTGGGATTTTTAATGACCACAGAGAGTCAGGACCTCGGTTTTACGTCTCATCCGAAGGACGGCGCCTGTTTACAGTATAGTGTCCCCATCACTATACTGGGGCATTAGGACCCACATGGACCACAGGGTGAGCGCCCCCTGCTGGCCCCACTAACACCTCTTCCAGCAGCAACCTTAGTTTTTCCCAGGAGGTCTCCCATCCAGGTACTGACCAGGCTCACACCTGCTGAGCTTCAGTGGGTTGCCAGTTGTGAGTTGCAGGGTGATATGGCTGCTGGCTGGAAATATTTGAATAATACAGTATAGGGTGGTGCGGTGTCGCTGTGGTTAGCATCGCTGCCTTTCAGAGCTGGGGTCCTGGGTTCAAGTTCCAGACTGGGGGCGCTATGTGCATGGAGCGTATATGTTCTCCTCATGTTTGTGTGGGTTTCCTCCATTTGCTCCAGTTTTCCTCCCACAGATCAAAGACATACTAGTTGGTTAATTGGCTTCTGAGAAGACTGGCCCTGGTGTGAGTGTGTGAGTTTATGTCTGTGAGTGCCCTGTGATGGACTGGCGTCCCATCCAGGGTGCATCCTGCTTTGTGCGTCTTGCTTGCTGGGATAGGTTCTGGCTCCCCTGCAACATTGTATTGCATAAAGCAGTTAGAAAATGGATGGACGAATATTAATAATAGTGTATAGAATGCAGAATATGGAATTACAGGTACAATGTGCCACTTAGACAGGTGTAGTGGATCCTCTTGCAATTTATTCATTCTATAGAAATGTATTCATCCTTATTACTATATCATGGCAGAATAAAACGTCCTGAGTCATATATATACACATAAATAGGGTACCACATCTAGTACAACAGTCTAGGTGGGTGCCCTGTGTGAAATATTTGAATAAGTGCTCATTTTATTCTTCCAGGGCATGGAAGAACAGATGCTAAATTCAACTGATAAAAGATGGCAAAATGAAAGTTGGAACAATCTACAATCTTCTCTGAAGAAACACTTTTGACAAGGTAAGTCTCTCACTTTACACAGCTGAGGAGCAATTTTAAAACTACTTTGCTCAATTAGGAACAGATTTACTGTGCTTTACAGTCTGATGCAGACTAGAACTCTCTGGACAGCAACAGCTTTTATCTGTCACAATACAGAGTGTAAGAAGAGCAAGACAAAAAAAAGCAGTCTCGATCAGACAAAAAGATCTTGACAAATATGAGGTATTTGAGGGCGAGACCTAAGGCCCCAAGATAAAAGTTGAAGAAAACCTGTCTTTCAGCTCCCCAACCTCTCTGACTACATTCCACAAAGAAACTAGTTAATACAGTATCTCTGAGCACTTCCAGTGAAATGTTCTTTCTTTCTTATGTAATCCTGTCGGTATTCCCTGGGTACAGTAAATACCCACTATCATTTTAATTTAATGCGTATTTAATATTTCATCTTTTATAGCAAGCCACATGACAATGCACAAATATCAAGGCGCCGTTAACTCTTGCTGTGCACAAAGATCATACCGGAACAAAAGTAAATATTAATTAAACAGTAAGAACTGACGGGGAGAGGGTTAGTGGCAGTTGCTATTGTTCACCAGTCTCATGTGCAGAAGTCCTGAGCACACTCAAAACCCAACAGGCAGCAAGATGCTTTACTTTTTCCTAACAGTTGGGTTTTTATTGGTAACCTAGAACCATTCGTTTCATAGCGAATTGGAAGGAAAGTAGGTTTCTGATCAATTTAATCTGGCAAGTAATCTGTGAACTCAGGTGGCGAGTGCATGACACTGTTTCCATGTCAAAGTTACAGGATTCAGCAACTGGCTGACTTTGCCACCATGTGACTGGTCCATGTGACTCCGCAGTACCAGGACAAGCAGAAAAAGATGACCTTTTTCAGGTGTAAAGCCTTTCTTAATAAATATGTTTAGTCTAGGTCTCCTAAACATCCTTGCTATTGGATTGGGCCACGTCAAGGAAGCAGTAACATGTTTTGAGTATAAAAATGAGGTACTAAGTGGATGTCCGGTAAGGAGAAGAAGCTACTGTTGGCACATCCATGCTTACATTTTCACATGGTGTCTGGAGGAGGTTCTCGACAAACATGCACGCATGGATTCATTGTTTTAGCTTTTCTTCTGTCGTATTTTAAAATAGAAATAAAAAACTTGCCACCTAATTAAGTCATATTTTCTTTAAGCATTAGTTTTGGTGAATGTTTGAAATCACGAAGGGGTCTCGTTCTACCATTTTTACTTCCCTGGGAAAACGAAAGTCGACCATCATCACCATGGACAAAAATGTGACGGAGAAATAAAGCACCAAAGATGAAACACTTATACTGTTACTAGATTTCTCCTATTAAATCTGCTACAGAGGGGCCTCCATGTTTTTTTCCACTGCTAAATAGGGAAATGCCATTTTTTAACTCTCTTTCCTCTACAAATAAAAATAATTACAAACTAGTAGGGTCTGGACTCTGGACAGAGATGAAGCCCTATTCCCAAGCACTGCGGGGTAATCTAAGCCATCCATTTCTCCTTTAGTTCCTCCTCAGGCTGTTCTCCTGAGACCTCGGCATCATCCTGTTTTTTTTTAAAGTATGCTGTGAATGTGCCACATCCTCCCTACTCAGTTTGAACTCCACTGGGGTGTCAAATCTTAAATGCTCGAGCTATCTGGAAACAGTCCAGATGCTTTTTTGGTTTCTCAGCTCCAGCAGGTTACAGGATGTCAAGCAGGATAGATCAGATCTTTGTAGAGTGGTTATCAGTGGTTTAGTGTTACTGCCGCATCGGGGAAGTCACAATCCAAGGTACGTTCACGGTCGTAGCAACGAGTAACTGGGTGCGACCAGATTCCAGCACACTGGTGCAGCAGAGTCTCGATCACATGGTGGAAATCACTGTAGCAAATTTCCTTCTCACACGAATGCACATACCAGACACATTGAGAATCACCACCCTGAAATTCTTTCATTCATTAGGCCTACTGTAATCATATTTACTAAATCAGTTAGCCCCATGCTCTGAATAGCTTTTTTTTTTTACTCCAGCATTCCTACTTTAGAGCCAGGTCTTGTCAGATCTCAGAAACTAACCAATTCCTGGTTAGTACTGGGATGGGAGACCTCTACTTAATATTCATGTAGCTGCTGTGAGTAGTGTTGGTGAAGCAGGAGAGGTACTGTTCCCTCTGGACCAGAACTTCCAAACCAAAGGCCCAGTATGGTAGAAGGACAAGTACACTGTGATAGATGAGATTTGAATGAGATGTTAAGACAATATGCTGACAACTACTGTAAGTCTTTAAAGATCGCACTGCACTGTCTGTAAGATTAGAAGGGTTATTCCCTGGATAGGCTGGCTAAATTCAACTGGTGACGTTTTTTTTTCACTTCTCCACCTGATGTGCTGATGCCTAATGGCTGCTGCCCTTCAGTGGTGGATGAAGTGTGCTCCCTTTTATATGTTGAGTGCTCTGGGACTCTTTGTGATGAAAAATGCTACACAAATGCAAGGAACCATTAAGTGTCATTTTCCTCTGCCTAATGTGAAAGCTTTCGTTAGAAGCACAAAATCAACCGTCCTTCCAAATAGCAAGACATATTTTGCCATTTACCTTGGTACACATCTCTGATTTGGTATGCCTGTGTAAGTCATTGTGGTGCTTTTGCAGTTAATGTAAATAAAACATGAAGGAGTCAGAAATCATCCATGGGTACACCTACATTTTTTAGAAGTGCCTTGTATCATACATACACTACTTTTCACTTTCACACTAATAATTGTATAATTTAGTCAGCTCACCCTTTTATTGGCCACATAGATGATGCGGACATTGCAGCACATCATCAGGAAGATGAGGGTGAACAAAGGGATATACCATCTGCAAGGAAACAGGCAAAAAGAAACATTGCAGAATTGTATCATCAGCCAATAAACAAGGACAATGATTCCTACAATTGACCAAGCAAAAACATTTTGCACCTCTTAAGATAATGGGGAAAAAAGTAACTAAACTCTCATTCACATTTACAAAACATATCAGTGAACTGACTACACTACACTGACAATTAACTGTATAGGAAACAAACTTCTATTGCACATAAAATGAACAAAAGTGTAAATATAACTTGCAAAGCCTGATTTGTCTGGGGATGCAGAAGAATATAGAAGGTTTTCTTGTCTTTCACGTACACAGAAAAAGCAAAACTAGGTGAACTCCTTCTGAACCTGTGGGAGTTTGAAATGACTCAAAGATCAACAGAGGAAAAAGCCATCAGACCAAACACTGCAACATCAACCGCTATCTATACTAAAGATACAGTATCTAGTCAGCATTCCTGCAGAGAAAGAGATGACTGTTCTGTGACAGTCCAAAACAGCGCAAAATGTACTGTGATGCATCCCAAACTACTACCAAGAACTGAGTTGTGGCCAATTCTAATTGCCTACAACGATAAGACATTCACAGACATTGCTTTGGTCACATCAGTAATAGCAGCTGAGGTTAAGCACATGTCAGAGTGAGTAACTGCAACTGTAATTAAGCAAAACGCTGGAAAGGACAACTAAACTTATGGCAGCCCTGTTTCATTTCAGAGCCAGGCATAAGAGGACTTCCTACGACTTGTGTGCCCTATAAGTACAGGGACTAGAGCAGAAAGTCTGGGCAACATGCCCTGCACTCTGACAAATGAAAGGCCTGTACAGACCAGCCCCACACTGCACTCTTTATTGAGTCTTAAGAGAGAGGGACACACCAGTGCACACTCTCATGATATCCATAAACACTGGTACTCTTTAAGAAATATTAAATTCCTTTTCGCTGATGTTAACTCTCTGTAATGACGCTATGTAGTCAACTGTTCTAATTCCCCATCACACTTACAGCGAGTATGTTATTTCTACCTGTACAATTTATTTCACATTCATCTTCATTTTGTCTCCTCCACATAAAAATATCAAAGTTTAAATTTATCATTCAGGAGGAAAAAAGCAGAATATACCACTTATTTTTTGGTAATTCTTTGCTCATTTCTTAGGAAAGCTACATGAACATGAGAAGAAAGAGATAGCTGAGCAGTTGTCCTGCATCTAAATTAAAAGGTTCAATTAAGGGATGCTCATTACAAAAAATATTCAGAAAAAACTACAGGTTTCACAACTTTTCACAAAAAAAAACAGTTGGTGAAAGCCGCTGATCACAACCTGAACACTACCTAAAAATAAAAATGACAAGTCAGAAGGACCCTGCAGGAGGTTTGCAGAGCAGATTTTCTGCAGTATGAAAAGCAGTCAAGCCCCTGGAATAACTATTAAGAGAAGAAACAGCACTCATTCCCTCAGCAGTCTCTTAATAACAAACAAGCCAGGTCCATGTCCACAGGTTCTTGTGTTTCACAGATAAGGCGGCAGCAGGTGAAATATTAGCCATAAAAATACATGAGCTCCACAGATCTCAGATAGCACCCTGTGTTTTGCCAACGAGGGTCTGCACAGGGTTTATTGCTGTCAGGCTGTTGTCTGGTCATGGCTTCTGTGATACTCCAACACTATCAGCTGGCTGGGAATGCGGTAAAGAGTAGTTATAAAACAAGCACACTGCACCAGGAGCAAGGACACAGATAAACTCCTAAAGTGCAGCGCTGATAACAAACTTGCTTCACATCAGCGGGAAGCACAAACTCACAAGACAAAGACCCTCTTCCAGTCATTAATACTGTGAACCTGAACAGGGCTTGCTCACTTACCTGAGCACTGAATTCTATTCCAGGACTGTACTACCTACTGCACAGTGAGTAAAATGGGGTTTCCTTGCACCATTGTCCCCTTTTCAGTTGAAAGGCTTTTCTTTAGAGTCAAACATAAAATGCAAATGAATTGAAACCTTAAGCCTCGCAACAAAACACAATACATTTAACACAAAATAAGCCTGTTTCTACCCTGAAAGTCCTGAGAAGTAGTTTTGGAGGAATGTAAAAGACATGGCCTAATACAGACTCTGGAAAAAATGGAGAAACAGAAAGACGGGTCATTCAGAATGAATCAAACTGTACCTCTGTTCTAAACTTGAAAATAATTTTACAATCAGCTCACGTCAGCTTGGTGGTGAGTGCTGCTATCTCTTGGGTTCTGGCCTGAAATCTGACTTGGACTACCTTTTTGTTTGGAGTTTGCATGTTCTCTAACAGGGTACAAGGGTTTTCCCCTATACTCTAAACCCAGGCTGATATTCTATTATTGTCCCTCTTCTGTGTCCTCTGTGAAGGACTGGTGTCCTATACATGGTCTAGCCAGCTTTGCACGATATGCCTCTAGGTGTGGCCTTTGGCTCACTGGAAACTTGCATTTGACTAAGTGGTTATTGAAAATGGATGGATGAAGGACTCTATCACAGGAACCTCCCATGGGCTCTGACTGTTAGGTGCAGTATTTTTATTGCATGTTCCTCACTACTCACTCAAAGGGAATGACTGTGTATGACAAACCTATTTCGATAATACCGAATACATCTACATTAGTTACAAAGAATTACTGAGAATATGATGTGCAACAGTATCAGCAAGGTATGTGAAGAAAATAGCAACAACAAAAAAAGAAATTGAAAAGGAAGAAACAATCAAGAACACATGCTTAACTAGCCTGTAAAGTATAATAAATGCCTTCAAATTTTATTTCGTGAACCATTAATGTGTAGGGCAATAATGAGCAGGAGTTACAAAGTGCCTTCATTAGCATGATAATGATCTGTCATTTAGTCTTTTTTTCCACTGCTTTGCAAAGGAAAAGCGTTCAGGGTAAGCCTGAACAGCCTAGTGTTTAATTCTCAGCTTTTAAGTAATTTAAGTCATTTTAGCTTTCCAATTTGAGCAATGACGACGCAGGAATTCTGTCGGTTGGGCTTGTTCCCCTCTTTAAACTACACTGCTGATCTGAGCTGAAATGAACTGTAGCCCCCTGACATGGATTAATCGTCTGTACTACGGACAAAGCTGAGAACGCTGATCCTGCTTCCTTTGTGAGCTGAGACAGATGTACCCAAAGATAAAGGTTTCAGCGGCTGGTGAATTCTTGCAATACCAAACTAGCCAATATGAAATCGGCATATTTCATATACGTTAGCTATGACACCTGCCTTGTGGTAAATTCCTGCTAAATCAACGAGTTAGGCCGCAAAAAAATTCTTGAAGACAGTTATGCGATTTCTTCGGCCAAAGCTCCTGTTCTGGCATAACAAGGTGCGAGACAGAAGGCCAGAGAGACACCAGGGCAGGTGTCTCCTTGGGTGTTGCTGACGCCTGCTCTCCCCATTAATTTATAAAGGAGTATCCTTTTTGGCCTCAGTGAAAACTGAACATTTCCAAAGAGGTACAGTATCTGTCCCTATATCTGTGTGTCTGAACTTAAAATGACCAAAATCATTCATTCTATGACAAAATGACTGCTTCCCAAAACTGTAAGCTTTCTTAAGAGTGTAATATGATACAGCTCATTTATTGCTAGTCAATTCAAATAGTTAAAAAAATATTTGGAGAAAATATAAAACAGTGATGGGCAAGACTGTTTTTTAGCATTAAACAGTATTTAGCATTGCTGTTTTACGATGCTGGGATCCTGGGTTCAGTGCCTGGGGTGCTATTTTAATGGAGTATGTAAGTTCTTCCCAGGTTTGTGTGGGTTTCCTCTGGGTGTCCCAGTCTCATCCGAAGTCAGAAAACATACTGGTAGGTTAATTGGGTTCTGGGAAGAAAACTGGCCCTGGTATGAATGCGTGCAGTGAACAGGTCATGTGTGCCCTATGTTGGACTGGGGTATGCTGTCTTATTTCTTTTCTTGCCAGGATAGGCTCCAGCTCCTCCTAGATCCTGTAATGGATAAGGTGGTTCGAAAACAACTAAATGGATAAAACAGTGATAGGGAATTCAGGTGGTGTAAACAACGCGGAGCCAATTTTCTGGCTCTAAAACATCTAAATTCCTTGGTATCTAAAACGAATTCTTTCATGCAAATAATTGCCATATTCTAGCAAATCTTATCAGTGACAACAGATTATGTGGGGGAGCAGTGAGCAGGCCATGTGCTCTTCCTCTAATTAATGACAAGGTGGGATGGTTTTACTACGTGAGACAGCTCTGCCTCCAAGTACGACATTGCCCCTTGTCCCTATTCTTGCATTAATTCCACAAAGAACAATAGAGAAGCAGTGACTGAAATCACTGAAACTCTAGTGGTGAAGGCACCTCAAAGTATCTCGAAGTAGTCACTCTACAAAAATGGATAAATACAAAGGAATCTGACAGCAAGGTTACTCACAGTGACAGCAAACCATAAGGAAGAGTGTTCCTAATCTCAGAGAGACACACTTACTGCCAGTGCTACAGACACAGTGACAAGTGCTGCCACTCCAAAGTTTTCTCCGAACATGTTATACAAGTATTTGCTCTGTGGGGACAGGCACTGGGACAGCTGTTATTTCTGTACCAGCAGAGGCAAATACATGGTCAAGTCAAACGAACAGTCATCTGGCAGCCATGTGTGGCGGTATAGTGTGACATTTGTTGACACTGTTGAAACATGTGAACTAAAAACAGCACAAGTACTATCTTAAAATAACATTTTAAAAATGTGGAATTCTATGGTGTTTAAAATGCGCACCACAGGGGTGTCCGATCCTGATCCCGGACGGCCAGTGTGTCTGCTGGTTTTCAGTCCAGCACAGCTCTTAACATGCTAAAAAGAGAAGAAAAGAAACACAATGTTTCAGCTGTGGAGCCTTCTTCTTCTTCACACCTGGAGAAGGCCCCACAGCCGAAACATTGTGTTTCTTTTCTTCTCTTTTCAGCATGGAATAAACCTCTACTTGTTCCTTTGCAGCCTACGCAT